GAGCCCGGGGGCGGGGCGCCTGCACGATTGGGCTCCGGCATGCGGTGACCCGGCTGCGCCACCGGGTTTCCTGGAGCAGGAAAAACCCAAAGCCGTGGGTTAGCACTTGCCTCTTCGAGACCTCATTTTAGTCAAGGTTTACGAGAAGCTCGGTCTCCTGCACTCGAGTCTGCAGGCGGCGGGGCGCGGTGGCGACCCCGCCTTCGGGGTCCACGGTTTGCTGCGGGGGAGGGAGCCCGGCGTCGCCTGGCAGTTGCCCAGAGGGAAAGGAACCTGAAGGAAAGTGATTTGGCGCTGCCATCAAAGCCGCTCCCACACTCCGTGTGAAACCGGTTCAGGGGCCAGGCACGGTGGCTCACGCCTATAATCCCAACACTTTGGGAGGCCGAGGTGAGAGGATTGCCTGAGCCCACAGGTTCAAGACCAGCCTGGGCAACTTGGCAGGACCTCCTCTCTATAGTAAATTAAAAAATTAGCCGGGCATGGTAGTGTGCACCTGTAGTTCCGGCTACTTGGAAGGCTGAGGCCGAAGGGTCAATGTCAGTAGAATTTAGTGACTGGACTACTGATGATTTTAGATCCATAGTGAGCATAGGCAACTTTGAAGCGTGGCTGTGAAGGGAGGAGCTAGCAGTTCACTGTGGCCCTTCCTGCTGAGAGTAGCAAGAGGCCATTTTTGCTGAAGTAGACACCAGGGAAGTCCTTAGCAGAGTGAGCTGCTCCCTCAGCAGCAACTCCTGTATCCAGTTACTTGCAAGTCTGAATTACATGTTCTCTAGGAAATTGAACTGACTTACACATGGAACAATACAACTGACACTTGAATGCGCTTCAGTTGAGTCATAAAAATTATGTTCTATGGCCGGGTGCGGTGGCTCACACCTGTAAACCCACCACTTTGGGAGGCAGAGGCAAGAGAATTGCTTGAGCTCAGGGGTTCGAGACCAGCCTGAGAAATATGGCGAGACTTCACCCCTTAAAAAGAAAAAAAAATGTTATGAACATGAATTGAATGTGTAGATAAAATACAAAAAAACCCTGAGCCCTGAAAGTCAGCATTTTACAATTAGTTAAGGAATTTGGCAAGAATGTTTCAAGGGAAGAAACAGAAAGGGGCTTTAAAAATGATAATCTTGCCAGGTGCAGTGCTGTAATCCCAGCACTTTGGGAGGCAGGGGTGAGGACTGCCTAAGACCAGGGGTTCAAGACCAGCCTGGGTAACTTAGCAAGACCTTGTCTCCACAACGAATGAAAACATTAGTCGGGCATGGTGGCGCATGCCTGTGGTTCCAGCTACTTGGAAGGCTGTGGCGGAAGGATCACCTGAGCCCAGCAGGTCAAGGCTGGTGGTTGTGAGCATGCCACTGCACTCCAGTCTAGGTGTCAGAGTAAGACTCCTGCTCAAAAAAAAATAAAGTGATAATCTCTAATTATTCAAAGACACAACATGGATATGGAAATACAAACCCCTATGTATTTCCTTTCCTTAGTAAGTACAGTAAGACATTCTATTCAGTTGCTATGAGCAGATCTTAAAGGTTTCATTGGGCACTGGGTACATGCCTGGAAGTAGAATCAATAAGTTCTAAAGTAATGGGTGGTTTATTTGGTAGTTAGTTCTAGAATAATGAGCAAATTAGTCGTTAATTTAGCAGTATTCAGGCTGTTGGAATAATGGCCACTTGACATCAGAAGTCAATAGGCTACCCCAGAGTAACTAACATATTTTATTTTCAGTAACAGAAGTAGAGTCAAGTATTTTTAAAAAGTGTTAACATATACAGACATAAGGTTATCAATGAACTGGTGTAAGGGCCTCATATAGTCTCTGTGCAGCCAGCTCCACCATCTCTCGGAGGGATTCATCATCTTCACTTCCTTCTTCACATTCCACAGTCTGAAAGTGAAAGCACAAACATGCTTTTTATTATAATTAAGTCAATAGTTATTATAGAAAATAAACAAATACTCTTTAAGAACAATTGTCAGCTGGGGTCTATGGCTCAGCCTGTAATCTCGGCACTTTGGGAGGCCAAGGCAAGTGGACTGCCTGAGCCCGGGGGTTTGAGATCAGCCTGGGCAACTTGGTGAGACCTCATCTCTACAATATATCAAAAAATTAGCCGGGTGTGTTAGCGTGCACCTGTAGTTCTGGCTACTTGGAAGGTTAAGACAGAAGGATGGCCTGAGCCCAGCAGGTCCAGGCTGTGGTGGCCATGAGCGTGCCACTACGCTCCAGCCTGATGTCAGAGACTCCAACTCAAAAAAAAGAAAGGCCATTGTCTTGTTAGACTCTGGTGGGGCCATGTGCTCTTTGAGCTATGGCTGTTGCCATGCTTCCTGGTTTGGGCCCCCTCCTCCACCTTGGGAGGTGAATCTTCTCTTTCTCCAATTTACTTTTCTTTTTGACTTGGAGTCTCACTCTGTCGCCAGGGCTGGAGGGCAGTGGCACACTCCTGGGCACCATAGCTTCAACCTGCTGAACTCAAGCTATCCTTCCACCTCAGCCTTCCAAATAGCTGGAACTACAGGCACATGCCACCACCCCTGCTAATTTTTATTGATTGATTGATTGTAGAGATGAGGTCTCACCAAGTTGCCCGTGGGCTCTCAGGCAATCCTCTCACCTCAGCCTCCCAAAGTGCTGGGATTATAGGCATGAGCCACCGTGCCCGGCCTCTAATTTACTTTTGAATAAACTATATTTCTCTAATCTAAAAAAAAAATTTTTTTTGTTTTGTAGAGAACAGGTTTTTGCTATGTTGCCTAGGCTAGTCTTGAACTCTTGAGCTCAAGCAATCCTCCTACCTTGGTTCCCAAAGTGGTGGGATTACAAGCATGAACCGCCACACCAGGCCAACTGCCTACTTTTTTTTTTTTTTAAGTAAAGATGGTGGGAAAAAAGTAAACACATCTGTTAGGTAACAAAATGCCAGTGGAGCCTCCTACTCCATAGGTTGGGCCCACCGGGGGATGGGGGAGTGTCTGGTCTATGATCTGGTGCCACGTGAAAGATGCAAAGAATTGCACAGAATTTAGATTAGAAAGACAGTTTATTTAGAAAGTAAATTAGAGAGATAGAAGATTCACTTCCCCAAGGTAGGGGAGGGGGCCAACTCTAAGAAAACATGGCGGCCATAGCTCAAAGAACACATGGTCTGGCCAGTGCTTAACAAAACAATGACTAGAAAGTAAATGACAGAGATTGGAGATTCACCTCCCCAAGGTAGGGGAGGAGACCAAAGCTAAGAAACACGGTGGCCACAGCTCAAGGAGCCATGCAGACACACTAGAGTTTAACAACGTAATGGCCCAACTACCTACTTTTTAATGAGATGAGTTGTTTTTTGTTGTTGAGTTCCTCGTATATGCTGGATATTAGTCCTCTGTCAGATGCATAATTTGCAAACATTTTCGCCCATTCTACAGGTTGTCTCTTCACTCTGTTGATTATTTTGCTGTGTAGGAGTTCGTCTATTTTTATTTTTGTTACTTGTGCTTTTGAGGTCTCAGTCATAAACTCTTTTCCTAGACCAATGTCTTGAAGAGTTTCCATAGGTTTTCTATTTTTATAGTTTAGGGTCTTACATTTAAGCCTTTACTCCATCTTGAGTTGATTTTTATATGCCATGACAGACAGGTGTCTAGTTTCATCCTTCCATATACAGCAACCCGATTTCCCCAGCACCATTTTTTTTTTTTGAGTTGGGGTCTCACTTTGTGACCCAGGCTAGAGTGCAGTGGCAGGATCATGGATCACCACAGCCTCAACCTCCTGGACTCAAGCGATTCTTCTGTCTCAGTCTCCCAAATAGCTGGAACTACAGGTGTGTACCACCACATCTGGCTAATTTTTAATTTTTTTGTAGAGATGAACTCTTGCTACATTGCTTAGGTTGGTCTCAAACTCCTAAGTTCAAGCAATTATCTCGCCTCACCCTCCTGAAGTGCTAGGATTATGGCGGTGAACCACCATGCCTGGCTCCCAGCACCATTTATTGAAGAGGATGTTCTTTCCCCAAAGTATATAATTTTTTTTTCTTTGAGTTGGAGTCTCACTCTGTCATCCAGGCTGGAGTGAGTGGCACACTCACGGCCACTGCGGCCTTGACCTGCTGGGCTCAGATGATCCTTCTGCCTCAGACTTCCAAGTAGCTGGAACTATGGGCATGTGCTACCACGCCTGGCTAATTTTTTTTTATTTATTGTAGAGATGAGGTCTCACCAAGTTTCTCAGGTTGATCTCAAACTCATGGGCTCAGGCAATTCTCTCACCTTGGCCTCCCAGAGTGCTGAAATAATAAGCGTGAACCACCGTGCCAGGTCGAAAAGCTGATTTTTGCACACTGATTTTATATCCTGCAACTTTACTGAATCCATTTGTCAAACCTACAAGTTTTGGGGTGGAGTTTTTAGTTTTTTCTAGATATAAGATTAGCAAATAGGGATAATTTGACTTTCTATTTTCCAGCTTGGATGCCTTATATTTATTTATCCTGCCTGATTGCATCATCGTACTTGGTTTTCTTTTTTTTTTGTCAGGGTCTCACTCTGATCTGCATGGCACGATCATGGCTCATCACAGCCTTGACTTCCTGGGTTCAGGCAATCCTTCTGCCTCAGTCTCCTGAGTAACTGAGACTACAGGTGTGTACCACCTGTATATTTTCTGTAGATGAGGTCTCACTATGTTACTTGCTACATGGCATAGGCTGGTCTTGAATTCATGGGCTCAAGCAATCTTCTTGCCTCGGACTCCCTGCATCATCGTTAATTATTGTATACAAGCCGGGCTCAGTAGCTTAGCCTATAATCCCGTGCTTTGGGAGGCTGAGGTGAGTGGACTGCCTGAGCCCGCGGGTTCGAGACCCGCCCGGGCAACTTGGCAAGACCTCATCTCTACAATAAATCAAAAAATTAGCCAGGTGTAGTGGCACGCGCCAGTAGTTCCAGTTACTTGGAAGGCTGATGTGGAAGGATCGCCAGAACCCAGCAGGTCGAGGCTGCGGTGGCCGGGAGCAAACACTGCACTCTAGTCTGGGTGACAGAGTGAGACTTCAACTCAAAAAAAAAAAAAAAAAATTATTGTATACTCAGTACTCCAAGTGTAAGGATTGTTATTTTTATTATCTCTTGCTCTTGGATATAGAGATTTCTTGCCATTTTATTTTGAATGGGAGTCTCACTCTGTGCTGGAGTCCAGTGGCACGATCACGGCCACTGCAGCGCACCTATCGGGATCAAGCAATCCTTCTACCTCAGACTTTCAAGTAGCTGGGACTACAGGTGTGTGCCACCAAGCCTGGCTACTTTTCTTGATTTACTATAGAGACAAGGTCTCGCCAAGTTGCCCAGGTTGTTCTAAAACCCCTGAGTTTAGGCATTCCTCCTGCTTCTGCCTTCCAAAGTGTTGGGATTATAGGCATGAGCCACTGCACCCAGCTACCATTTTTTAAATGCTAAAATAGACATCCTTTTCTCTCTCTATATATCTTTGCTCACTTGTCTAATAGTTTTCTTTGGTTAAATCCTGTAAGTGGGATTGTAGATAAAGGCCTTACTTTTTTAAGGCCATTGATGCATATCACCAAACTGCCTTGCAGAATGAAAGAATGTGCTGCCTAATTTACACTCCCCCTAAACCCCAACAGCACCTGAGAATAACTGTTCTGTATTCTTTTACCATCACTAAGTCATGTCAGTCTTTTTAATCTGTGCCAATAGGATAAGTAGTGGTATTTCACACTTTTTTTTTTTTTTGAGTTAGAGTCCCACTCTATCATTCAGGTTGGAGAGCAGTGGCATGCTCACAGCCAACACTGCCTTGACCTTCAGGGCTCCAGTGATCCCTGCGCCTTAGCCTTCCAAATAGCTGGACCTACGGGTGTGAGCCACCGTGCCTGGCTAATTTTTCTTCATTTATTGTAGAGATGAGGTCTCACCAAGTTGCCCCGGCTGGTCTAAAACCCCTGGGCTCAGGCAATCCTCTAGCCTCTGCCTCCCAGAGTGCTGGGATTATAGGCATGAGACATTGCACCTGGCGACATTTCACTTTAGATTTGTATTTCCTATAGTTATTAGTGGATCTAAACATTTGTTTGAAGTTTATCTATAGTTCTTCTCTAGTGAATTACTTGTTCATGTTTCTTAGCTTATTTTCCTATTGAGGTAAAATAAGTTTTGTGTTTTCCCAAAGCACCTGTATACTCCAAAACCATACAAAAGAAATTTAAAGCTAGGTTATTTATTTAGAACTATTCTAATCTTCAAAAGCAACCCTGCAAGGAAGATATACTTATTCATTCATCTTGTGAAATAATTAAGCAAGATCTGCTGGTAAGACCAGAGTGGGACACTCTTCTCAAACTCTATTTGTTTGGAAAAGCTACTTGGATCTTGCTGGTGCAAACTGAAGAGCAGCTTCTCTAAAAAATCCAGAATCCACTAGATGCCAAACTAGAGAAACACTCAAGTGAATTAAGGTGTATTATGGGAAAAAAAAACAATGGAGTGACACACATGGGAACCATGTACTGCAGCAACCTGGAAAAACACTTACGGAAAACTTAATATATAATAGTATGGAAATAATAACGTAAAAAAAAGATAGGAAATACTGGAAGGAAATGCCAAAACGCAAAAGTAAACTGCTAGGTGTGGGACCATAGATTATTTTTGCCTTCACTTTATTTCCCAAGTATCTTGAAATGTTGGCAGAAGCAGCTACATACATACCCGTGTTTCCAAGTTAAGGTTAGCAGTTTTTCCATCCACTGTGACACTAAGAATAGAGTCGTCTTTGACACTTACACAGTCTTCTCCAAATATGTCCCTTAAAATAAACAAAGATACAATATTAGTGGAAAAGTGAAGTTTTACATATTTGGGGAAAAAATAAAATTGAAGATAGGTCCTAGTTCTAAAGTGGAATACTTGTATCTACTTTGAGATACACTTATTATTTACCTCGAAATAGCTTATTAACTTTATGAAATAGACATAATACACAGCTATCATTCATAAAGAATACACTGTTCAACAGGTATTGTGCTAGGCACTTTGTATATACTATCTTAACCTATAATAATCTTGGTAAAGGCCGAGTGTGGTGGCTCATGCCTATAATCCCAGCTTTGGGAGGCTGAGGTGAGACGACTCCCTGAGCCCAGGGGTCTGAGACCAGCCTGGGCAACTTGGCAAGACCTCATCTCTACAATAAATCAAAAAATTAGCCAGGCATGGTGATGGATGCCTGTAGTTCCAGCTACTTGGAAGACTGAAGTAGAAGGATCACCGGAGCCCAGCAGGTGGAGGCTGCGGTGGCCGTGAGTGTGGCGCTGCACTCCAGCCTGGGCGACAGAGTGAGACTCTGACTTAAGAAATATAAATAAGTAAATAAATTAAAATAATAATATGTTTGAATACACTTGGTTGGGTCACCTAGTACTAAGGAAAAAAGTCATACTTTAAATACAGAAATATAGTCAAAAGGATAGGAAAAAAAGGTTTCATTTTCATGTGATCAATTGGCTTGTCTAAAGAAATCAATGTATTTATTTCTATATAATCCTAAGTATTTAAGCAACTGGGGAAATAGCTGCATTGCTAAGGGTACAAATGACATGGAAGTTTAAAGACACTGGCATTTCTTTTTTTTCTTTGTGGATTCATAGTCTCACTCTGTTGCTCAGGCTGGAATGCAGTGGCATGCTCACAGCCATCGCAGCCTCGACCTGCTGGGCTCAGGTGATCCTCCACCTCAGTCTTCCAAGTAGCTGGAACTACAGACGTGCGCCACCACACCCAGCTAATTTTTAAAAATTTATTGTAGAGATGAGGTCTCACTATGTTGCCCAGGCTGATCCCGAACCCTGAATTCAAGACCAGCCTAGGTAACATAGCGAGACCTCATCTCTACCAAAAAAATTAGCTGGGTATGGTGGCATACACCTGCAGTCCCAGCTACTCAGGAGGCTGAGCTGGAAGGATCACCTGAGTCCAGGAAGTTGAGGCTTCAGTGAGTCATGATCATGCCACTACACTCTAGCCTGGGCGACAGAGTGAGACCCTGGCTCACACACACACAAAGTTTCCAAATAAGCAGAGCAACTTATTTTGTTAAAATGTTTAATTAAGTAACCTTCAGTTTAAAAATAGCAGTCATTCATCCAACAAGTATTTGAGTTATTTTGTACAAAGCAATGTGCTTAGAAAACGAAATTAGGCAACTATATACAGATCTATTTTCCCCTTTTTTGCTATAATACATACACTTATAATGTAGCTATCCACTATGAAGCAGTTTTTTTTTTGTGTGTGTGTCAGAGTCCCACTCCGTCAGACTGGAGGGCAGTGGCACGCTTCCAGTCACCGCAGCCTCGACCCGCTGGGCTCTGGCGATCCTTCTGCCTCAGCCTTCCAAGTAACGGGAACTACAGGTGCCGGCTACCACGCCCGGCTACTTTTTGATTTATTGTAGAGACGAGGTATCGCCAAGTTGCCGGGCGGGTCTCGAACCCGCAGGCTCAGGCAATCCACTTGCCTTGGCCTCCCAAAGTGCTGGTATTACAGATTGAGCCACCGAGCCCGGCCTATGAAGCAGTTTTATACAATTATTTTATTTGAAAAAAACGTTCCGAAATTAGACTTGAAGAGTACTTGCTGTGGAAATCATTTTATACAAGAGCCATCTTGTTCTAACTGGCCACTGATCAGAAATGCTTCATCTGCATAGTGGAAACCCTGATGCAGGAGGGGAACCCTCACCCTACCAGAAAAGAGGGCAGCTCCCAACAAAACAACCTCAAACCGCTGGCTCAGTGCAACAGCTCCCTTATCGCTGACCTGCCTGCTCTCTCCCTTGCAGCATGTTCAATAAACCTCTTTCTCTACTTTAATCTGGTTTGGGTGAATTATTTTATTTTAGATTTGAAAACATAGTTTATTTAAAAAGTAAATTAGAGAGAGCGAGCGAGAAAGAGGAGATTCACCTCCCCGAGATAGGAAAGGGGGCCAAAGTCAGGAAACATTGCGACAGCCATAGCTCAAAGAGCACATGGCCCCACAAGAGTCTACTAAGGCAATGGCCCTGGTGAATTCTTTTTACCACCTGTGACTCCAGCCATCTGGTCACTATCCACAACATTTGCAGAAAGGTGAAAGAACTAAATGAGAACTAAACTCTGACTTTTTTTTCTCTCTCTATCCAAATTCTTAGCCAAGAGGCCTAGGGAGTCATGCCCTACAAAGACTCATCAGAAGGGTTTTTATTACTTCCCTATAATGAAGCTTGTTTTCCACTTGATTCTGGCATAACATCACACAACAGATAAAGAAGGAAATCAAAGTATTTTATGACCCTGCAAAGCCATCTCTTGGGGACTCCCAGACTCTGGGTACCTTTTAAGTCATTGATGTGCTATTCTCTCTAAAGTCTGCCACTTGGGGGGCCTCATCTACATATCAAGGAATTTGACTCCTTCATTGCACAAGGGCATTTCTATCTTATTTTTTAGTTTTGGAAAAATTAATCATTTTATCATTGTACCTATGAGTAATATGCACAAGGTATCACAGTTAAAGTGTACAAAGATTAGATGATGAAAAGGAAATATTTTCCCTTCCCTTGTCCTTCTGTCATTAATACTTCTCCCCAGAAATAATCAGTTTGACCAAGATCCTGTGTGTTTCACAAAGGCATTTCCTTTACTGATTTCAAAATTCCTTAGGCAGATCAAATCTTTGAATCTACCAATGACCCCGCAAGCCTTTGCTTAGAGGTGTTCTGCCTTTGCAGGCCAAAGCAATGTAAATCTCTCAAGTGCTGATTTTCAGTGTCTTGTAACTTCTGTCTTCCTAAAATGTATATAACCAAGATGCAATTCAACCACCTCAGACACACATTCTCAGGACCTCTTGGACATGGGTCATGGGCCTAGGTCACTCACATTTGGCTCAGAACAAACTATCTTAAATATTTTATAGAATTTGGCATCTTTCGTCAACAAAATATTTGGTGTTTAGCAAAATACTGAGTTTAAAGGTAATTCAGAGGTTATAGACTATCTCAGAAGTTGGGAAGAAAACCATTCTATGAAGAATTCACATTTAAGAAGTATATATATAAAATAATTCTTAAAAGTGTGATAACAATTGGTCAAGATTTTCTTACTTGTCTTTGATGAGAATGACTATGCCAGCTCTGTAGGAACATCCTAAGGTGCTATATTAAATAAAATGTAAACAGCTGACCAAGCAGGTCACATGTACTTGGAACTAGCTAGAGTGTCCAGCTGGAAGGGCGCAGTTGAAACCACTTTCTTTCCCAATAGAGAAGCAGGCCCTGAGCAGTGGCCTGGCCGGGGCTGAGTCACACCCCAGTCCCTGAATGAGCCAGAGCTGAATGCAGGGCTCCGTCCTCCCCATCCTCACTACCTTGTTGGGGAATAATGGGTGAAAAACTTACTGAAGCATGATCTCCAATCTCTTGCCGTAAACATGCATTTCTAATTTTTTAGAAACCTTTTGTACTGCACCTGGAAAAAAAACCCAAAATGACAGAGTTCAATTTCCAAATTCATGTTTAGAATAACTTCCAAATCAATAAGCAGAACATGGTTATGATAAGTTAAAGTGAATCCTTAAAGTGACAAGCATGTATATGTATCATTTTCCTGCTATAGCAAATTGATATTTTCATCAGTTTATTTCACATTCTTATTAAAGAACCACAAAATGACATTTAACATTCTTTTTAATTTTTTTTTTTTGAGTCAGAGTCTCACTCTGTCACCCAGGATGGATTGCAGGGGCATGCTCACAGCCACCTTGACCCACTAGACTCAGGCAATCCTTCTACCTTAGCCTTCCAAGTAGCTGGAACTACAGACATGCACCACCATGCCAGGCTATTTGTTTATTTATTTATTGTAGAGACGAGGTCTTGCCCAAGTTGCCCGGGCTGGTCTTGAACCCCTGGGCTCAGGCAAACCTCTCACCTCGGCCTCCCAAAGTGCTGAGATTACAGGCTTGAGCCAACGCACCTGGCCTATTTTTAATTTTATTTCTACTGCTTCTCAAACTTTACATTTATCACCACAGGAAGTAAAACTATAACTCTAGGAATTCCAGGGGCATATTCAAAGCTCAAAGACTTTTAAGGTCTTTTACCTAAAATGTTATATAAATTTGGCATTCTACTATATGTAATACACTTATGATTATTTTAATAAAAATATTTAAAATCACTTGTCCATTAAATTACTTCACTTTCTCCCAAAACAAAGTTCAGGAAGATAAACCATCCTTGTTTTAAGTATGCTCTGGCACATCATAAATACTTCCCAGTCCATTACCAGCAGCAAAATAGAGAATTCACGGTGTGGTGGGACCTCAAAAAGTTAAACAGAATTAACAATTGACCCAGTTATGTCCTTCCAAGGCATAGAACCAAGAGAAATGAAAACATACATCTACACAAAAACTTATATACAAACCCGTAACAACATTATTCATAATAGCCAAAAGGTAGAAACAACCCACATATCCATCAACTGATGAATGGATAATCAAAATATGTTATAACTATAGGATGGGAAGTTATTTGGCCATAAAAAGGATTGAGGTACTGATGTATGCTACAGCATGGATGAACCTTGAACATGTTATACTAAGCGAAGGAAGTCAGTCACAAAAGACAACGTATCTCCGGGCTCGGTGGCTCAGCCTGTAATCCCACGCCTTTGGGAGGCTGAGGTGAGTGGATGGCCTGAGCCTGCGGGTTCGAGACCCGCCTGGGC